GAACACCATCGGAGACACCTGTAGAGCGCCTTTATAATCACCCAGTTATGTTGTTACATTTGGTAGCACACAAAGTGTTCCTCCGGTGATCGGGAGTTGCATAATCTCATAGTCATAGGAACATGTATAAGTCATGAAGAAAGCAGTAACAGTAAACTAAAACGATCAAGTGCTAAGTTAACAGAATGGGTCAAGTCAATCACATCATTCTCTAATGATGTGATCTCGTTAATAAAATGACAACTCATGTATATGGCTAGGAAACTTAACCATCTTTGATTCAACGAGCTAGTCAAGTAGAGGCATACTAGTGACACTCTGTTTGTCTATGTATTCACACATGTACTAAGTTTCCGGTTAATACAATTCTAGCATGAATAATAAACATTTATCATGATATAAGGAAATATATAATAACTTTATTATTGCCTCTAGGGCATATTTCCTTCACTAACACCATCTCCTAAATCACACAAAGCAGTTTTCACATAATTCTTTTTGATGGAGCAAGGTATAGTTGGTATTCCCGGATCTCCAAGTTTTTTAGGTACTCCATCTTTAAAAATATAATTAGCAAGCATAGTGGAGATTTCAGCTTCCAATATTTTTCTCTTATTGGTGATGATGTCTTTCATGTACTTTGCATAAGGAGGCATTTTCAAGATATCAGTCAAGCGAGTACGCAAAAAGACTGGCCTCGGCATTTTAGCAAAGCGTTCAAATTCTTCATCATCATTCTAGTTGACTTAGGTGGAAAGGGCATTGGTTTTTGAACCCACGGTTCTCTTTCTTTATCGTTTTTTCTAGCCACAAAGTCTCTTTTATCATACCTTTTATTCTTGGTTTGTGGGTTATCAAGATCAACAGGTGGTTCTATCTCAACATCATTGTCTAGTTCTTTATTATTTGGTTGAGAGTCTTCATGAACATCAGCATTATCTTTTTCATTATCACTAGGTGAATGTGTCATTACCAGACTGAGTTTCAGCATCAGAGATAGAAACTTCATTATCATTATCAGGAGGTTTCTCTACTTCAGGTTCACTAGGAGCATGCATAGTTCTATCATTTTTCTTCCTCTTTTTGGGTGTCCCTCAGGATAAAGTGGTTCCTGAGTCATTTTACCTCCTCTAGTTGCAACTCTAACAGCAAAGTCATGCATATTATTATTCATTTCATCAAGCAACTCTCTTTGAGATTTAGCAACTTGTTCTAACTGAGTTTGAACCATAGAGGCATGCTTTCCAACACCTCTAACATCATTTGAGGTTCTAAATAACAAGTCACTCAAGCGAGCAATCATATCAGAATTGTATTTCAATTGTTTCATAACATTTGCATTGAAGTGATCTTGTTTCCTAATATAGTTTTTAAACTCATAAAGGCATTGGCTAGGGTGCATATTTTGAGGATTGTCACTATCATTGAACTTCATAAGAGAATTTACCTCTACCACCTTAGGCAATGGTGGTGTATTAAGCCCATGTATTTCTTCGATAGGAGGTAATTTTTTAACATCCTCATCTTTAATACCCTTTTCCTTCATAGATTTATTTGCCTCTTGCATATCTTCAGGACTGAGATATAATATACCCCTCTTCTTTGGAGTGGCTTTAGGCGGTGGTTCAGGTAGAGTCCAATCATCATAATTTTTCAATATATTCAATAATTCCTCAACTTGTCCAACAGTTCGTTCCCTGAAAACACAACCAGCACAACTATCTATGAAATCCCTAGAAGCATCGGTTAGTCCATTATGAAGATATCAAGTATTTCATTTTTCTTAAGAGGATGATCAGGCAAAGCATTAAGTAACCGGCAAAGCCTCCCCCAAGCTTGTGGGAGACTCTCTTCTTCAATTTGCACAAAGTTAAATATTTCCTACAAGGCAACTTGTTTCTTATGAGCAGTGAAATATTTTTCAAAGAAGTAATAAATCATATCCTGGGGACTACGCACACAACCAGGAGCAAGAGTATTGTACCAAGCTTTAGCATCACCCTTTAATGAGAACGAAAATAATTTGAGAATAAAGTAATAGCGAGTTTTCTCATCATGAGTAAAAAGGGTGGCTATGTCATTCAACTTAGCAAGATGTGCCACAACAGTTTCAGTTTCATAACCATGGAAAGGATCAGATTCAACCAAAATAATCAACTCTGGGTCGATAGAGAATTCATAATCCTTATCATCAATAAAGATCGGTGAAGTAGCAAACTTAGGATCACATTTCATTCTAGCATTCAGAGATTTTTTTATACTTGCATAATAATTTCTCTAGATCATCTCTATCCCTACAAGCAAGAATATCTTTAGTTGTCTCCTCATTCATAACATAACCTTCCAGTACCTTAGGAAATTAATATCTAGGAAGGCTAGTTCTAGCAAGTGTTTCAGGAGATTTAGTTTCAAGCTCATCATCAGATTCAACAACATCATGTTGTATTACTCTAGCAATTTGTTTATCAAGAAATTCACCAAATGGCACATCATCATTACCAAGCAAGGTACTAGCATCATCATAAGCATTATCCATAGCAGAAGTAGCATCATCAATAACTTGCGACATATCAGAATTAATAGCATGTGGTGGTATTGCAAGTTTACTTATAACAGAAGGTGAATCTAAAGCAGAACTGGATGGCAGTTCCTTACCTCTTCTCGTCTTTGAGGGAAAAATCTTAGTCTTATCATCCTTCAGATTCTTGATAGTGATAATATGATAATAACCCCAAGTGACTCAACAAATATAGCTATGCTCCCCGGCAACGGCGCCAGAAAAAGGTCTTGATAACCCACAAGTATAGGGGATCGCAACAGTTTTCGAGGGTAGAGTATTCAACCCAAATTTATAGATTCGACACAAGGGGAGACAAAGAATATTTTAAGGTATTAGCAGCTGAGTTGTCAATTCAACCACACCAGGAGATTAATTATCTGCAACAAAGTGATCAGTAGCAAAGTAGTATGATAGTTTTGATAATAGTAGCAGTAACAGTGATAACGGTAACAGTGATAGCAGTAGTTTTGTAACAAGTGCAACAGTAACGATAACAATAGTAACTTAGTAAGAACAGTATAGGATAAATTCATATGCATTGGATCGGTGACTTGCTAGATGATATTCATCATGAGACTGTTATAACCTAGGGCAATACGACACTAGCTTCAGTTCATCAATATAATGTAGGCATGTATTCCGTAAATGGTCATACGTGCTAATGGAAAGAACTTGCATGGCATCTTTTGTCCTACCCTCCCATGGCAGCGGGGTCCTATTGGAAACTAAGGGATATTAAGGCCTCCTTTTAATAGAGAACCAGAACAAAGCATTAACACACGGTGAATACATGAACTCCTCAAACTATTGTCATCACCGGGAGTGGTCCCGACTATTTGTCACTCCAGGGTTGCCGGATCATAACACATAGTAGGTGACTATAACTTGCAAGATCGGATCTAGAACATGGATATAATGGTGATAACATAAACGGTTCAGATCTGAAATCATGGCACCCGGGCCCAAAGTGACAAGCATTAAGCATGGCAAAGTCATAGCAACATTGATCTTAGAACATAGTGGATACTAGGGATAAAGCACTAACAAAACTAACTCGATTACATGATGAATCTCATCCAACTCCTCACCGACCAGCGAACATACGAAGGAATTACTCACTCCTGGTGGGGAGCATCATGGAATTGGTGATGGAGAAGGGTTGGTGATGACGAAGAATGAAGACCCCCCTCTTTGGAGCCTCAAACGGACTCCAGATCTGGCCTCTCAATAAAGAGCAGGAGGTGACGGCGGCTTCGTCTCGTGGATCGCGATAATTCTTTCTCCCTGATTTTTTCTAAAAAAATAGGATTTTATAGCATCGGTTTCAGGGTCTGCGAGGCCGCCAGGTGGGGACAACCCACCTGGGCGCGCCAGGAGAGGGGGGTGCGCCCTGGTGGGTTGTGCCCACCCAGGTGCCCCTCTCCGGTAGGTCTTGGCTCCAGAAATTCTTGTTTATTGTATAAAAATTCCTCGCAAAGTTTCGTTCCATTCCGAGAACTTTTATTTCTGCACAAAAACAACACCATGGTAGTTCTGCTGAAAACAAGTCAGTCTGGGATTAGTTCCATTCAAATCATGCAAATTAGAGTCCAACGCAAGAAGAAAAGCGTTAGGAAAAGTAGATACGTTGGAGACGTGTTAGGAGAGCATCTTCATACCTAAGCGGAAGCGTTTATCAACGCGGTTGATGTAGTCGTACACCTTCACGATCCGTTCCGATCAAGTACCAAACGTACGACACCTCCGCGTTCAGCACACATTCAGCTCGATGACATCCTCGCCTTCTTGATCCAGCAAGAGAGGCAAAGTAGTAGATGAGTTCTGGCATCACGACGGCGTGGTGACGGTGTTGGTGAAGAACAATCTCTGCAGGGCTTCGCCAAGCACAACGGAAACTATGACGGAGGATAAACTAGAGGGACGGGGTTGCCGGCACATGGCTTGGTGTATCTTGATGTGTTCCAGGTGCTAGCCCTGCCCCTCTATTTATATGTTGAGCCCTAGGGTCGTAACTTGGAGAAAGAGCCTCCTCAAAGTCGGTTTTTCCCGCAAGGAAGAGTCCTTCTCGGACGTCCAGAACCATACGCCACAGTCCTTGACGTCTGGCCCAGGGCTAGACGCTAGGGTCTCCAGCGTTTGCCCCCCAGGCTCTGCAAAACTCCTTTTGCACCGACTTAAAGCCCCGTGAGCCTTACCCCTTGGCCTAACCATATCATCCTATATATCAATCTTTACCTCCAGACCATTCCGAAGCTCCTCATCATGTCCGTGATCTCATTCGGGACTTGGAACAACATTCAGTCACCAACATACATAACTCATATAATACTATATCGTCAACGAACGTTAAAGCGTGCGGACCCTACGGGTTCTAGAACTATGTAGACATGACCGAGACACCTCTCCGGTCAATAACCAATAGCGGAATCTGGATGCCCATATGGGCTCCTACATATTCTACGAAGATCTTTATCGGTCGAACCTTATGACAACATACATAATTCCCTTTGTCCATCGGTATGTTACTTGCCCGAGAATCGATCGTCGGTATCTTCATACCTACTTAAATCTCGTTACTGGCAAGTCTCTTTATTCGTTCGTAATACATCATCTTTCAACTAACTCATTAGTCACTATGCCTGCAAGGCTTCTTATGATGTGTATTACTGAGAGGGCTCAGAGATACCTCTCCGATACTCGGAGTGACAAATCCTAATCTCGATCTATGCCAACTCAACAAACAACTTCGGAGATACCTGTAGAGCATCTTTATGATCACCCAGTTACGTTTGTGACGTTTGATAGCACACAAGGTATTCCTCCGGTATCCGGGAGTTGCATAATCTCATAGTCGAAGGAATATGTATTTGACATGAAAAAAGCAATAGCAATAAACTGAATGATCAATTTGCTAAGCTAACGATGAGTCTTATCCATCACATCATTCTTCTAATGATGTGATCCCGTTATCAAATGACAACACATGTCTATGGTTATGAAACCTTAACCATCTTTGATCAACGAGCTAGTCTAGTAAAGGCTTATCAGGGACACGGGTATTTGTTTATGTATTCACACATGCATTTAAGTTTCTGATCAATACAATTCTAACATAAATAATAAACCTTTATCATGATTTAAGAAATATAATAATAACCATTTAATTATTGTCTCTAGGGCATATTTCCATCAACATCAACTCCTTTTAGGTGAGTTGGTTGTTGCGGTGTGCTTGATGCTAGAGAGTTGTGGATTTGAATCCCATGATGGTAATTTTGTTTTTCTCGTGTAGTGCGTGTGACAGAAGTGACAGTTTTCTCTGGCGAGCGCACGTGAAGTGCAACGAAAAAAGCTATGTAAAAGAAAGAATGGGTGTTCTACAAAAGGTAAGACTAAGAAAGAACTCATCATACTCATTCTTTTTTTATCAAAAATGCCAAACGAAGGCCGAGCTTCGTGGAGATCTTAATTTGAAAACTTAGAACTTTTCTGTTTCAAAAGATTGTGAAAAATACACGTATATCTAGAGACACAATGTATATATGCATATTTTTTAGGTTAAAATACATTAAAATTAGAGCTAGAAAAGAAAAACAAATCCATGACTTTCTAACATATTTACCGTTCATCCTTAAAATTCAGGATTTTCTTTTCCAGCTCGCAATTCAAGATTTCATCCAAAAATGTTACACACATACACATTACATGCTTCTATACATGTGTATTTTCTTTTCTACAATTCTTTGAAACTAGATAGTATGATTTTTTTAAGTTAAGGCATCTACGAAGCTCGGTCTTCAGGATGCCTTACTCATCTTGTAATGTCTTCTCATGTGGCAAAACTAAAATAAGGTTGCCTTATTTTTTTTAAACATCAATACACACAAGCACTTATATATACACGCATACACTTATCCCTATGAACGCATATAAGCACACCATATCCTATGAGCACCTCCAAGAGACTGAGCCGACATATCATCTTGAGATTTTATAAAGTCACCATAGACGCCTCGTAGTCGACGGGAACTACTGAACATGTATCGCCGATTTTTTTTAATAAATTCAGGATAAATGCGAGTATCAAAACTTGAATCGTACCATTGTCTACCTAATCATCCAATCATAGGATGGTTCGCGAGGCTGCCTTATTAATTATTGTACACACATTCTTTAATTATTTTGCCACGTCAGTATTTTGCTTGCACGATATTCTTCTTGGCACTTGTAGACCGAAGCCGCTCTGGCCCGCCTCTCAGCCCTTGTACAATGGGAGGTGCTTAGAAAGATGCTTAGAGAAATAAATCGGGTGTTTCTTAAGCACCGGTGCTTATTTGTACAGAATAGACGCTTAATGCTTAGGCCTTGTACAATGGAAGGTGCTTAGGGAAGGTGCTTAGAAAAATAAATCAAGCTTTCTTTAAGCACCGGTGCTTATTTGTACAGGGTAGACGCTTAACTAAGCGTCTCTTCTATAAAAATAGGCACTAGTGCTTTAGAAAAACTCGGTTTATTTTTCTAAGCACCTCTCTAAGCATCTCCCATTATACAATGCCTTATTTGTATAGGAGAGACGCTTTAAGCACCGATGCTTCAGAAAAACCCGGTCTATGTCCCTAAGCATCTCCTCTAAGCATGTGAGGCCACGAGGAGCGACCATCTGGTTTTGAGACAGCTCACGAAACCTCGTCTTGTCCTCCTCTGAGCCGGCGGCGAAGCGAGCGGCGGCGCTCTTCTCGACGACTACGTGGAGGAGACGAACCCGGCCATAAGTCCGTGTGGATTCAAGGTAGGCTTTGCTGAATCCCAGTCGAACCTGTGCTTCATTTTTGGCCGGATTAGCAGGCTAGGGTTTCGTCCGCGTTTGTGCAATTGTGGGTGGCGATTCCGAGCCCGGAATCTTGGGAGAAATCCGTCCATGTCCCCTGTGCCGCAGCACATTTTTTCTTCCACTTCTGCGTTGGTTGGAAGAAGCGGGTCTAGGGGATCACCCCTGCTTCATTGCAAGCCTGCGGTATTACTACTATTTTGTGCTCAGAACTTGAGGCTTCCATTGCACGGCTTCGATGTTTATGTTACATTATGGCATGTAGGATATCAATTCATTTGCATTTTTATTCAAGAACATTAGTCTTATTTTATCTGTTTTTCTGTAGAAAATGGATGAGAAGCCATACGATGGTGAAGTATTAACTCGTCGAGTTGAAGAACTCCAGCGGGGTACTCACTCATATCTGTCATATACAAGATTATCATTCATTCGTTTATACTTTCAATGATAACCCTAACATACTGATTGTTTCCTGTGCCAATAGAAGTTGCTCTCATTATATATAACACTTCAGCCTGCAGATTAGTGATTAGTTTGGCTACATTGTTTTCTCTGTGCAAGTAGTTCAATTCAGGACCCTCACCCCTTTTTGGAATGGAGGCACTCCAATGGAAATTCAGGGGGAATCGTACTAGTTCCTGGCTTCCTTCAATAATGACCTCAAGATATAAAAGCGGATAATGCACTAGAGTTCCTTCACTAATATGTACCCTGTCATAACTCAGCTATTCTCGCATATTTGAGTAGATAATTTTTGCGAAGAATGCAATAGTTTTTTTAAAATTTCTTTCACTCTGTTAATGGTGGCTTGCTGTACAATTTGGGAAAGTACATGAAGTAGCTGCTGAAGTCCTTGGCTAATTATGTTACATTGTTTCTGATAGACATTTTATGAGTCTTTATAATAATTCCAACCTTCTACAGCTTTGTTCAGTCATAGGAGTATCTTAGTACGCAGCAGTGTTGCTTCCTTTGGATGTCATGTGTACATGGTTAACATGTTGGAAACTATTGGCAGATGTTACTAGTAATCAGAGATTTTCAATGGAAGATCAATGTACCTATTTTCTCATACTTCAGATTGATGACCTTTTGAATGGAGAGAACACCATGTTCTGTTTTCTCAAGCTGCTCATGTAGACTAGTTGTTTTGGGAGTAGTTCCAGTTTTCATTCTTGTATTTCTTTTATGTGGGGGTATAGGTGTACACTTATTGATTGAAATATTCTTTGTTTGTCAGAACGTGATGAACTGAGAAAAGATATCGAGCAATTATGTATGCAACAAGCTGGGCCTGGTTATGTTTCTGTTGCAACTCGAATGCTTTCTCAGAGGTGCTTCCATAGGTTCTGTCCATGTTCCATTGTTATCATTGTAGTGAAAGTAAACCAATGTTTTGTTTTAACTATCCAGGACAACAGCTCTGGAGCAGGATATTGAGATCCTTCAGAAGAAGTTAAGTGGATGCTTAAGAGAGAATCAAAATTTGCAAGAGGAGCTTGCTGAGGCTTATCGAGTTAAGGTGTGCTTCTCTTCCTCGCTGCACTATTGTTTGTATCTGCATTTCTTTTTCTTTCTTCTGATGATTGCTTTACTTAAATTTTCAGAGCCAGCTTGCTGATTTATATGGTGCTGAGCTATCAAAGGTTTCATACTTTGACTTGTACAATCGACTGTTGTTGTTTTATCAATAATGTTGTAACTTTCCGATCAAAAAATAAATAAATAATGTTGTAGCTTTTGCCGACTAATATTTAGTGGCAGATAATTTTATACTTCTCCATCATCCACGTACAAGCAGTATAGGGAGTGAAGTACCTTGAGCTTGAACATGGCATGCCATATCTATGCTCACTTATAGCTAGACCCACATATCATTCAGACAGTGCACAACTAAACAAAACACTAACAGTTGTGCTTATTTGAAATCTGCAGCCTGAAAGTAAAATATCATTTCAAGCATGATAGGCATATTCCGAGTCTTGGTTGGTCTTTTTAGAGAAGGTACCCTTTGGGACCTTTGCTTAATATTAATTTCACTTCAGTTAACTTGAAATAGACAATAAAGGCCTCATATGCTTACTTAAAATTTGATATTTTGTGGAATTTAGGTCACTAATTCTTTAACGTCCTAAAGTTCTGTTTACAAGAAATCTAGCTTATTGTGGAAATGACCTTCTATCCTGCAATGACAATGCAGACCAAGGAGCTAGAGCAGCAAGTGAGGTTTTTCCAGAGCAGCGTTGCTCAAGCATTTGCTGAACGAGATGGTTCATTGTTGGAGGTTCTTCTTGATTTACTTATTACGTCAATTCTGTATCTAAAGATGTAATGCTTTATACATGACATTTGAAATTGGTAGTGTGAGAAAGCAAAGGAGCGAGAAGAAGCAGGGTTAAAAATGTGCGCTACCTTTGAGGAAAGGTACTGTTACTCATTTCCTATTTCACATGTCTTGAACTGTTCTCTGGTATTTAAGATATAATTGGTTTACTCTAAGAAAGATGAAATGTTAATGTGTCGTTTCACCAAGTTCCCCAGAGGCGAGTATAATGGAAACTGACTGGTATCTACAGTATCAAAGATCTTGACAAATAAGTGGTCTTGCAGTGTTTTTCTTTTTGGATGTGAGTTTGTTGGTTGTAAAATGGCCAGCATCCGATATTAATGTTGGCTGGTGCATTGACAGACCTGCAACTGCACATATTATGAGACACATCCTAATAAGAAAAGGGCACTAGTTAAGTTTGTAACAATGTTCTCTTGTTTAGCGAGGAAAGTGGAATCTTAGACCATGTACAATGCTAGGAGCTTAGAGCAGTGCTTAGAAAAACAAACCATTGTTTTCTTAAGCACCAGTAAATCTAGGAATAGTTTTCGATTGACCGGGTGCGCTGGGTCGGTTTTTGCGTCCGGCCTCGTTTGTTTCAGGTGTTAATGGGCTAACTCTCCTAAAAGTTTGGTTTAGTTTAGTTTCTCACAGCAAATGGGTGGGTATGGTCGGCTATGGGCCCAAACAGATCCGGTTACAAACAGTTTCAATCCACAGTTTAGACCGGTTGGTGGTATAGGTTTCGTTCCAAGTTCTCCAGCCCGACAGACACACAGTCTTCTCCGCTCGTCGACCACGCCTGCGACCGCCGCAGCTCGCCGTTCGCGACGGCTGCCGTCACTGCTCGCGCACGGCTCGCCAGCCCCCTCTGCGAAGACTATTCGAGGAAGGGAAATGGTTCCAGGAAATGATTCCAACCCTTACGTGCAGATCAGCAAGGGCCAGATCGGAGTTATTCGGCAGGCCGGCGGCGACTCCAGCATGTGGAGGAGCGGCAGGCGCCATGGTCGAAAGGAGAGGTGCGTCTGCGAGCATTGTGGAACATGAGACATTAAAGATGCCCTCTCGCGACGGGTGAGCGCGCCTGGTGGCGCCGCCTGATCTCCTCATTCCGGCCACCCCTGCATCCAACTCTTCTCAACCCGGAGCTCTGCTCCCTCGTGCTCCCGGCCATCCTTGTGCGCCATGGCTCCTCAACCCTGCTCCCAGCCCGTGTCCGCGCCGCAGGCAGCGGCGACAACGGCTGACCATCTGCCTGTGCCGGGTGCCGTCCCTGTGTCCTGCTGCTCATCAGATGTGCCCCGGCGTCCTCCTGCTTGGAGATACAGGGGGGAGAACGCGGGCATCATTACCTCGTGCGCGGGCCTCGGGAAGCCGGCGACGATGGCCACTCCATGCACAGATGGTTTTCGAACCATTTCAGGAAATGGTTCCAACCCACAGATGGACACTCAGTTTTAGTTCAGTTTGGGTGAGTCAAATAGGTTTGGTTTTGGTTGGGTTGACGGGAATACAAATAGGTTTAGTTCGGTTTGGGTTGCCAAGTTTATCCATTCAGGTTTGGTTGAGGTATGGTGTAGTTTTCAAACTTTTCTCAGGATTAAGCACCAGTGCTTATTTGTGTACCAGAGGCGTCTAAAGCAAAACCGATTTATTTTTCTAAGCACTTGTACTCTACAAATAACCACTAGTGCTTAAAGCAAAATTGATTTATTTTTCTAAGCACATAGCATTGTACATGGCCTTATTTTGCCAGTGCTTAAATTTTCTTAACTTCCGGTGCGAGTTAAAATTTGTGCTGTGCATCTTGTTAGCATCTCTAACAAGACATGCGTACCATACTAAATGTACTGACACAAAGTTTAACTGTACATTCTTTACACAATTACTCCCTCCGTCCCATATTAATTGATGCTGAAACGGATGTATCCAGACGTATTTCACTGCTAGATACATCCATTTGAGCGTCAATTAATATGGGACGGAGGCAGTATATCGTTAGGGTGGTGACCACAGAACTTATTCTTTCTGTTTCTGCATTTGGGAGTTTCTTAAATCACAACTACACTTCACATAAGCTTTATTTAAGTATCCCACATTCAACGACGTTATGGAGAATGTCCTAGATTTGCTGCACTTTTCAGATAAGTGCAGAGTATCATGATTGTTAATTGGCAGGACGAGAGAATATCAAACTGCAATGGAAGATCAGAAACGTTTGAACGATGACCTGCAAATGGAGTTGACAGAACTAAAAGCGCATACAGAATCTTCCTTGAATGTAAGCATGCTTTTGATTTCTTATTGCCATTACTACCAGCATAAATCTGTGCAAGTTCACTTAAAAGTTTTTTTTCATACTGAAAAAGTACCAGATTTTAGTTGAGAGAACTAAAAGAGCATCCTAAATCCCTCTTGGATGTGCGCATGTTTTCTGTTGCTATGTCCACAATGATTATCTGGTAATTTTTTCTGTTCAATGAAGGATTTAAAGGGAAAATCTTACCACTATAAGTTTGTAAATTTTTCTTTTGACATTGTCCATTTCATTTTTGCCACAGGGCTGTGTCACTGAGTAGTTGGCCCAACGAGAGAATGAAAAACAAAATGCAAAATATGGCTTGCTGTCAAAATCCTGAATAATGTCAGGATTTAAATAGTCTTGCCCATTTTTCCCGTCCAACTTTCTAATGTAAATTGCACTAAGGAGGACGTATATTATTGAGTGGTTTTGATGGACGCCTGAGTGTAAAATAATTTCCTTGACCTACTGCATATTTTTTATTTCTAATGTATGTGGTTGTCTGTACCTCGCCATCTACACTCAGTATATTTTAGATAAAAAAAGAATCCAATTGGGATCTGCCCTCTTTCATGCTGATTTGACGTGTTCAGTTCGCATCATTTGCACCACCCAATATATATCAGAATTGATCCTTCTTGATTGGGAGTTTGATGATTGATTCTGTTTCAGGTTATTAAAAAATTATACGAAGTTCGTTCCAGAGAATGTGAATGCCCTTCAAACATTACTTTTGAAGAGAAATGTTCAATTCTTCTAGATGATTCTGCTGACAGTTGGAGTTTCAACCTGGATGGCGAAACCTCAACTTCGAAGTACATTGTAAACTTAAATCACTTTATCCATGAGAGATAATAATTCACTTGCAGATTGATATGTTTTATTTTTTCACTGTTTCAGTTTAAAATATACTCCTTCCGTCCCAAAATAAGTGTCGCTGATTTAGTATTTTGGGACGGAGGGAGTACCTAATACTTCTATTGAATTTTTATAATCCACTGTTGTAGGATATGTTTGTCTGGACAAGTTTATTTTGGGAACCTTAGAAATGCAAAAGATAGGGATGTGTTAAACTTTGATGTCAGTTATCACGTTTTTCTAAAATTCTAATAGGAAGCATCTCTACTTTGAACTTTAGCTTTCTCTAGTATAAATTACAGGACCTTACACGGAGACAGAAATTACAAAGTAACTGCATGTCTGATGGTTCTCAAGATTGTAAGTAAATAGTTATTCTATTTATAGGTTCGACTCTGCTAGAGATGATCATGCCCTCTCTGCCTGAATTAAGCAATGTAGTCTCAGTATAGAAAAGGACCTGGCTGTCAAAAATTCTCATTTGCAAAATCGATGCTCCACTGGTAATGTAGAAGTTTCCACATTCTGTATTATTATATATTTAAATGGCTGGAATAGTGGAATATATCGAAGTATGTTATAGACATAATCAGTTAAACTTAGTCAGACGTTCTGAATTTCTGATTGGGCAACATTAATAAATAGATAAATTAATAACATAAGCCTTGTATGCTTCTTTACAAGCGGCACACCAGCAAACTTATTTTTGTTACTTGACAGTTTCAATAATTTTATTGTTTCTAGTTGTATACACATTCACTGATCTTTTTTATGTAGGCATCTCTAGAACAGGAGAATGAGTCGCTTAAAGCTAAAATATCTAAGCTGCAAAGCAATCTAAGAATGGTAAGGTAAGTTTATCCATAGCAGAGACAAATAGTTTTTCGGCTTTCCTAAGAGATCTGTCACTTGGATGTCCAGAGTTTCGAAATTGAACATCACTTGCAAAGAAATGCACGAACACTGGAAAAGAAACAGGTACAAAAATTCAACTTATCATATCATTTTTTTTTCTGACGGCACCTTAATGCGCTTAATGATGTATACACTTTGGAATGCAGGCACTCAGTGATGATCTTATGAGAAATGGTCTGTCTGCTCTTCAAAAAGTCTATACATATCAAAGGGCTGAAATTATGAAAATATTGGAAGAAGAATTACTTCTGTTAAGCACGGCTGTTAATGAGATTCAAGACAAGTTAACTCAAATTTGCATCAATGCTGAGATCATGGGTAACCCTGTTGGGAAGATGCAATGCTGTGACAGTAGTTGTAAAGACGTGCATGTTACTATGGATATTGGCCCTGAAACCATCCCCAAGGTTTGTTCAGAACATAATGAACTTTCTCAAGTCTTGCTTTTATGCGGAACCACTTCCTCTAGGAACCTTTTCCTCGATCTAGATTTGTGCTCACGAGTTATGGTGTAACTTGTGAAGAAATTGATAAATATTACTTAATAGTGTCAAATCTCCAGAACACCTTGATGAATATATCCTGGGTTGGCATACTTCTTTTTTACATTTAAATCAGATTGACTATTTATCTTGTGTAAGCAAGATACCATGTCCTTACTTTTTTTAGATAGGTACTTTGTTGATGTGTTCCCCCTCTTTTTCCCGAAGAAAACATTTCTTGTAACACCCTGTTTTTCGGGGGTTCATTTTTTTAAAGGCAAAGGATGCTACACATTACTCAGATAATACTTTAGTACTGTATTTTAGTTGGACACATTGGAATTAATTTGTTATACCCTTTCTTATGCAAAATCAATTCCAAAAGCATTTGGGTTTGATTTTTGCAACTCCAAGTAAAAGCATTTGGGACAGAGGTAATACATGAGTATTGTTTGAATAATACACAACATCCTTTGCCTACTCTTCCGTTCCTTTTATAAGGTGTACTTTTTTTTCAAAAGTCAAACTTTTCTCTCCTTGACCAAGTTTATAGAAAAGACTACCAATATGTACAATACTAAATAAGTAAAATATGAAAATATATTTCATGATGTATCTAATAGCACTGATTCCTTTTCTTAGATGTTGCATCTTTTCTAGAAACTTAGTGAAGGATAGAGAAGTCTGACTTCTGAAAAAAATTAAGAGTTAATTACACTTTTGATACATAAACTTGCACTTGATGTACAGATTCATACATAAACTTGAAAAATGACACAAATCAGTCATACAACGTGTTTCAGGTACATTCAAGTACATTTCTGTCGTTTGCCGTTAACACTCCGTTAAGCTCTGCATGCCAGTTGGTCCACACTCAATACCTGCACATGGGGACCATCTGTCAGTGGCAAAGAAAGAAATAAAAATATAGCAAAACAATTGCGCGCAGTAGGAATCTATCTCGGCGCGTCACCTATCACGCTCCAGAAGCCAACCACTACATCACCTGCTACTATTTGTTAGTGTTACACATAGTTAACTTTTTGGATAGCAAGGAAACAATTGATCTGAAGCGAAATAGGCGCTGTACAAGGGGTTCGAACAATATTTTGAAAACTACTTTTCGGTTTTATTCCGGGAGGGACCGGAAAAAGTAGTTTCCGAAAACTCAGAAGTTTCGGTATTTTTTGTTCAAAATTTCAAAACAATTTTGAATTCAATTTTTTTGGTGTAAACATATATTCCTTTTAACCCCATATATGACAAATTGTGCCTCCTGTTCTAGCGGTCAGCTTCACTTGTTTATTCAGAGGGGTGCGGGTTCAAGGCATTGCTATGGTGCCTCGTCCATTTTTTCTTATGAAGAATGTTGAATATAACGCTAGAAAGGTCCAGTTTTTGCAAGATGTTTCGTGTGCCTTATCACTTGGAAGAATTTTTTATGTGAAAACATATGAATACGAGTTCTATTTGACATTATCTGACCTTGTAAATTGAAAATAAATAATTTTTTGAACGATATCAAAAACATTCGGGGCTCACCTAAATTTTCGGTAACCGGTCGACCGGGGAAAAACGGAGTTGAAAAACGCACGCACACAGTAAATCCTGTGCAATACACATTCTGGATTTGAATCAATTTACCTAATAAAATATATAATGGACTGTATGTTTGTACTAACAACAAATGCATCTGGTGCACTGGCTAACGCCTGAAGCTCGCTACGTCGCGAGTTCGAGTTCTGCTGGTTGCATTGCTTTTTGCTACATTTCTATTTCTTTCTGACACTGATAGGTGGAACCCACGCGCAAGTATGGAGTGTGGGCCAACTGGCATGTAGAGTTAACGGTAAACGATGGAAATGTACTTAAACGTTACCCGAAACACAAGTTGTAGGACCGATTTGTGCCATTTTTCAAGTTTATGTATGCATCTGTACATTGAGTGCAAGTACATGTATCAAAAGTGTAATTAACTCAAAAATTAATACTCCCTCCGTTCCTAAATATAAGTCTTTTTAGAGATTTCAAGGACTACATACGGATATATATAGACATATTGTAGAGTATAGATTTCACTCATTTTGCTCCGTCTGTAGTCCGCATTAGAATCTCTAAAAAGACATATATTTAGGAACGGAGGGAGTACATCTAGAAAGGATCAGAGGGAGTAGTTCCCTGAAGACTGGATGTCACAATTCTCTTTACAATTATATGACTTAACTTGTTATTGCATATATTGTAGGGTGATGTTCCTACAGGTTATTCTACAACTTTTGATGATTCAAAAGCGCTTGCTCAAACTTTGCAGGAGAAGGTACAGCGTTACGCTGGTGCTTCTTTGTGCTTGAAATTCTCATATGGGCCTTTCTTTATATTAAATAATCTCACATTATGTTGAAATCTACTACAGATGGAGGCGCTTATGCTTTTCTCACAGGAACAAGAAAGATACCTGTTGGAAAAACAGAAGAACCAAGCTATTATAGAGGACCTTGAGAAGAACTTATCTCAAGTAGTACTTCCTACACTTTTGATGTCCATTATTTTCCTTTTACAATCTTTACAGTCTTATGAATCTTGAGTTATGCTGAGTGCTTTAAACTGTAAAGTATATGGAGAAATTTCACACGAATATTATGCCAGTCCACTTTTTTCTACTAGAAAATCAGTATTTTCTGGAAATGCAAAATTAGAGGTGTGGTTGTTATAGTAAAATCTGGTGAAGTCCTATTGTAGAACCGAACCGGAGCCGGAGCCGGAACCGGAACCAGAGCATCGGCAGCAGTCAATGCACAACTGTGAGGGCTAGGGCTACTGTACTTGTTTAGCCATGTCACCAAAGTCTGGACTAGTTGTCGACCTCCGATGGTGTTTTGAATTTAACTGTGAGTTCATTGGCGTACACAGACGCGTGGTTAGTTTACATAGATGCAAGGACTACACCATTAACACCGGTGAACGATTATTACTATGATGGTCTATGAAACAATTAGATCTGTTCAACACCTTCAGTGTATCACATGTTTGGAGCTAGTGCAAAAAACTTAAATTATTTTGCAATTAACGCTCCAGCAAATATCAAGGACTTCATAGAGGCACGGATGAGGCTGGATTTAGTATGCAAACAGGCCATTCTGTTTTCTGTTTTCCTCTTGGACTCTTCTCTTTCACAGCATCTTGGAAGTTTATCTTTACGGTACATACTAGAGCATGCAACATTGGATGCACATCTTGTAACTTGCTTGTACCTGTTCTATACAGGTTAAAGATGAAAAAGTGAAGGTCTTGATGGAGTTAGCAAAACTGAAAGAAGCTTATCTCCTGAAATGGTAAGCTTTATGTGCAGCAAATCATCATACTGGATCATGTTTGTAATATTTACTTAACATTTTGAGTATCGTTTCCTGGGTGTAATATACATTCTTCTTCTTATCACTATATATATATTTTCTTCTTATACAGCAGCTCTACTGCAAATGATGGTCATGGTATTGTTGATACTCCAAAAATCACTTCTGGGCATGACCAACAAGGGATGCTGAAGACTATTCTTAACAGAACATCTCTAAGACAATGGATAAAAAAGGAAAATAATACTGGGCATGAGAGCTCTGGTGGAAATGACCAGACAGTTTGTAGAGGGTGCTCAGTAGATCTATCAAGGTTTGTGATAATACACACAAATTACTTTTTTGGTTCATTCCCATCACACTTAGTCTTTCTATTAGCTAAATATGACCCCAATATGCTGCATCCTAGACTATATTTTTGCCATAATCTTATCTGCACTTACAATTTTGTTCTGCGATTTTTTTAAATTTCATGCTACTTCATGACAGGATGAAAGTTGAAAATGCTACCCTTTTGGAAAGTGTTGCTACTATGGAACGTCTCACTTCTTTGGTTCATAGGCTGCACAGAGTGCTTATGAAGGTAGGGCACTTTTCTTTAATCGAATTATTAGCTTTAGCAGTATTATGTGATACCCATTTTTTGTATCCTAACCATTTTTTGTCAGGTATATGATGATGTCAAATCCGGGTGTTCTTCGGAGAGTAGTTATGAAGCACTGAGCAGTCTTATAACAGAAGCAAACCTTATGAGAACGGCTCTGGGCGTCGTTCTCCCAGTAAGCTGGTCAGGGGATTCATCAGGTGGTATCACTTCAGACTCGCCTAAATCATCAAAATCCGAAAAGGTGGATCCCCTTGGTTCCGCTAGCATGGAGATGTTGGAGCTACTTATATTGGCCGCGGATATCCTCAGAGAGAGCTTCATGTTGAAGAAATGATTAAGGATTCAGAAGCATGTATACAATTTAATCTATAGAGAGAATTGTCCGCTTGAGTTGATTTCTTAATGTGCACTGCTACTGTGTAAATGTGCGGAAGTGGAAACTGCTGCAAAATGTTTGTATATGAAGCTGATGGTTTGCATGCCAAAGAGATGGTAAATCCTGCAAACTGATGATTTTGCATGTCAAAATTTACCAGCTAGTACTTGTTGACAAATTACATGCATGAGTGAGCGTCTGTGCCATTTTTAATCGCAAAAGATGACAAGAGTTTGTTCCGCAAATTCGCTAAGCGGTACGTGACCAGCCAAGTGAAGGCACAATTGTAACATGCGGTATCACTCAACTATCTAACTACAGATAAAAACACAAGCAATTAAGTAATGGAGTTGATGATTAAACCAGAGGTCTGTACGACCAACTGTTCAATTATTTATTTATTATATCCAAGTACAAGCCTCACTTTATTCTCGCTTGCAACAGTACATCAGGATCAAATCGACGGTGATGCAAGAAGTGTGGCTTGTTGCTAGTAAGAAAAGGGTAAAACGTGAAGCACATTAATGCCGGTTTGAATTTGAGCCAGCACTAATGTGTACATTAATGCCGGTTCCAACGACTAGCCGGGCCGCTCTCATTAGTATCGATTCGTGGCGAACCTTTAGCATCGGTTCGTGCCACGAATCGGTACTAAAGTGAGTGGTGGCATAATGTTGTCAGTCCGGGGCCCCTCCAGTACCTTTAGTACCGGGTCGTATCACGAACCGGTACTAAAGGTCGTCCTACATAGATCCTTCGTCCACCCGAGCTCGCTCTGTTCTTCCCCTTTTCCCTCTCCTCTCTGTTCTTTCCCCTCTTCCTCTCAAGCTCATCACACATTTTGCCCAAGATTTGAAGGCCCCCATCCATTCAAATGATCACAAAGGTTAGCAACTCTTTCCTTTCATCTCTCATTGCTAGATTAGCTCATGCAATGCTTTATATAGTGATTGATTTTTGAGTTTAGTAATTTGGGAGGAATTATATATATGTGCTAGTATTTGATTTATATGCAATTTGAGGTCAAAAATAACACTTAGTTTTGCATATGTAGGTGTGGTTTATTTAGTACCTTCTAAATCTCCGTCGTAACCACCGTCAATCGCTCGCAACGTCCCATCGCCGGCACCACCTTGTGGTGAGCCTCTTGTTCATGAAGTTTTATATAAAAAAAATGATGTTTGTGTGATTTGGATATATAGTTACTCGTATAATTATCTTACCCATACGTTGTTTGTTATGCATAGTGCCATGGTTTTGATATCCGTCCCCGTCGGCCCTCGTCCGGGTTATGATTCGGATGTGGTATATTCTCTTTTAAAACTATTCATTGCATTTCGTGTTTATGACAAATTATGCCCATCAAGTTGACATAGATATTTGTATGTAGGAGGTAGTTGAACCCGAAATTCCAATCGACCCTATTGTCGAGAGGTTAAATTTAGTTGAAAGAGAAAACGAGGATCTGAAGGAAAAATTGAAAAGAATTCCCTATTGTCGAGAGGTTAAATTTAGTTGAAAGAGAAAACGAGGATCTGAAGAAAAAATTGAAAAGAATTGAGGGGGAGAAGATGGAATTGGAGTTGCATGTTGCCGATGTCGTCGATGATCACAAAATTAAGATGGAGAAAATGCGCTTGAAGATTAGAAAGATTAGAAAATATGCCATTCATAGTGAGGCTTGGTATCATTATGCTGTTGGATCAATTGTTACCTTAGTTGCGATCTTGATCGCATTTGTTATTGCATTTAAATTCTTTAGCTAGAGAGTTATTTATTTATTGCATTGAAGTGTTGTTTGCTCTTTATGTATGCACTTTATGTATGAACTTTATGTATGAACTTTATGTATTGTATTAATTTGATGTTTTCGGTGATGTGTATTAAAGATGAGCCGGCAATGGATGTACGATGACCGATACTCTCCCGAGTTCATTAATGGCGTGCGTACTTTTCTGCTTGCGGCTGAGGCAAACAAGCGAGCGGATGGTTTTATGCATTGTCCATGTGCTGGCTGTAAGAATGGTCGCAATTACTCTACGTCAAGAACCATTCACGTCCACCTGTTTGAGTCCGGTTTCATGCCCCACTATAATGTTTGGACCAAGCATGGAGAAAGAGGGGTTATGATGGAAGAAAATGAAGAAGAAGAGGACGACGACAGCTATCCTGGCCATGTGTTCCCTGAATACGATGATACAACAATGAGGGAAGAAGCTGAGCCGGTAATGCGGGAAGAAGCTGAGCCGGCAATGCAAGAAGAAGCTGAAGAAGAGACATCAGATGAGCCCGTTGATGATCTAGGTCGGGCCATTGCCGATGCAAAGAGAAACTGCGCAAGTGATTTGGAGAAGAAGAAGTTGCAGTGCATGTTAGAGGATCACAAAAAATTGTTGTATCCGAATTGCGAAGGTGACAAGAAAAAGCTGGGCACCACACTGGAATTGCTGCAATGGAAGGCAGAGAATGGTGTATCTCACAAGGGATTTGGAAAGTTGCTGGTAATGATGAAGGATATGCTTCCAAAGGACAACGAATTGCCCGAGAGTACGTACCAAGCAAAGAAGGCTGTCTGCCCTCTAGGGTTAGAGGTGCAGAAGATACATGCATGCCCTAATGATTGCATCCTCTACCGCCGTGAGTACGAGGATTTGAACGCTTGCCCGGTATGCGGTGCATTGCGCTATAAGATCAACCGCGATGACCCTGGTGATGTCGAGGGCAAGCGCCCCAGGAAGAAGATTCCTGCCAAGGTGATGTGGTATGCTCCTATAATACCACGGTTGAAACGTTTGTTCCAAAACAAAGAGCATGCCAAGGCGATGCGATGGCACAGAGAAGACCGTAAGAAAGACGGAAAGTTGAGAGTACCTGCTGACGGGTCGCAGTGGAGAAAAATTGAAAGAAAGTACGAGAAGGAGTTTGCAGATGACACAAGGAACATATGGTTTGGTCTAAGCGCAGATGGCATTAATCCTTTTGGGGAGCAGAGCAGCAACCATAGCACCTGGCCTGTGACTCTATGTTTGTATAACCTTCCTCCTTGGTTGTGCATGAAGCGGAAGTTCATTATGATGCCAGTGCTCATCCAAGGCCCTAAGCAACCCGGCAACGACATTGATGTGTACCTAAGGCCATTAGTTGAAGAACTCTTACAACTGTGGAATGGAACATGTGTACATGCGTGGGATGAGCACATGGGGGAAGAATTTGACCTAAAGGCGTTGCTATTCGTGACCATCAATGATTGGCCTGCTCTCAGTAACCTTTCAGGACAGACAAACAAGGGATACCGCGCATGCACGCACTGTTTGGACGATACCGACAGTATATATTTGGCTAATTGTAAGAAGAATGTGTACCTGGGACATCGTCGATTTCTTCCGAGCAGGCATCCCGTAAGAAAGAAAGGCAAGCATTTCTCCGGTGAGGCGGATCACTGGACGAAGCCTCGCCACCGTACTGGTGCTGATGTACATGATATGGTCAAGGATTTGAAGGTGGTCTTTGGAAAGGGTCCTGGTGGACAACCTGTTCCGAATGATGCTGACGGACGCGCACCCATGTGGAAGAAGAAATCTATATTTTGGGACCTGCCCTATTGGAAAGACCTAGAGGTCCGCTCCGCAATCGACATGATGCACGTGACGAAGAATCTTTGTGTGACCCTGCTTGGCTTCTTGGGCGTGTATGGGAAGATAAAAGATACACCTGAGGCACGGGAGTACCAGCAACATATGCACGGAAAAGACGGCATATATCAGGGTCATGCAAGCTACGCTCTTACCAAAGAAGAGAAGGAAATCTTCTTTGAATGCCTGCTTAGTATTAAGGTACCGTCTGACTTCTCATCGAATATAAAGGGAATAATAAACATGGCAGAGAAAAAGTTCCAGAACCTAAAGTCTCATGACTGCCACGTGATTATGACGCAACTGCTTCCGGTTGCATTGAGGGGGCTTCTATCGGAAAACGTTCGATTAGCCATTGTGAAGCTATGTGCATTTCTCAATGCAATCTCTCAGAAGGTAATCGATCCAGAAATCATACCAAGGTTAGAGAATGATTTGGTGCAATGTCTTGTTAGTTTCGAGTTGGTGTTCCCACCATCCTTCTTCAACATCATGACGCACGTCCTAGTTCACCTATGCGAAGAGATTAACGTTTTCGGTCCTGTATTTCTACACAATATGTTCCCCTTTGAGAGGTTCATGGGAGTCTTAAAGAAATATGTTCATAACCGTGCTAGGCCAGAAGGAAGCATCTCCAAGGGCCATGAAAATGAGGAGGTCATTGAGTTTTGTATTGACTTTATTCCTGACCTTAAGCCGATTGGTGTTCCTGAATCACGGCATAAGGGCAGACTGGATGGAAAAAGCACGCTAGGAGGGGAACAAATAATATGTATGGACGGACATTCTCTCACTGAAGCACACTACACAGTTCTACAGAATTCCGCTTTGGTGGCTCCGTATATGGATGAACACAAGAATTTGCTACGCTCCAAACACCCGGAGCGGTCTGATGACTGGATTACACGTGAACAAACCAGGAGTTTCGCCAGCTGGTTGCAGACACGTACCATGCATGACACCTCTATTGAAGATGTACTTGCTGTCCTAGTTATCATCTTCGAATATAATGACTTTTAAAGGGTACGAGATAAATGGTAATACATTTTACACGATCGCCCAAGATAAGAAGAGCACCAACCAAAACAGTGGTGTCCGCTTTGATGCAGAAACCAAGACAAGAAAGGAAACATATTATGGTTATATACATGACATATGGGAACTTGACTATCGACGTGGTTTGAAGGTCCCTTTGTTTTGGTGCAAATGGGTCAATATGACACGAGGCGGGGTAACGGAAGACCCGCAGTACGGAATGACAACAGTGGATCTCAACAATCTTGCGTATGCAGACGAACCATTCGTCCTAGCCAATGATGTGGCACA